AAATCACCATGACAGCAGAAACGTGTAGGAGAGCTACAGTGAATTATTTAGAAATGAGAGTGACAGCTTCTTAGAAAGAAAAGTAGTGCAGTAATAATAAAGAAGCACAATATTGCACAGTTTTCTTACAAAAATATAAAGAAGGTGGAGAGTTGTGGCTTTGTGGTCATTCAACCTGAACTTGAACTTGACATCCTCGGAGCTAATGCATTACGGTGATTGCACACTTGACATGTAGTTGCAGTGGCATGTATTTTTAAAGACATTTTATATGTTTAATGACTTCTGCTGCATTGGTTTTACAAACCTTACGACAATTTTATCGTAATAGATGCCCAACTTATTTAGTTACAGTTTAATCAGGGACTTAGTAAATGGCTTGGAAACTTTAACATTTCATTTAATGGGAACTCAGCATCATTACATTTTTATTTAATTTTTGGGGCTTGATTTCTTTCATGATTTATTACCCCATCGTTTCCCCATTTCATCACTGAACTGCGTCTTTGGAGATCTCGTTTATATGCAGAGCGCACCTAAAAGACAGTCCTAGTTACTGATAATTAGCTGCTGCTTTAGTAAATCAGACGCTAATTTCATGTAGATTGCGAGCGCAAATATGTACATAAATCTGGCCCTGACACTCAGAGTTTGGAACTGGGTATTATGGGGATTAACAAACCAAACTGAAAAAAAAACACATTTGATGAAGAAAAAAAATGCTTTTCAAACACTAAGAAGAAACTTTATAGAAAATGGGGTGGCGAGACATCATTTTAAGGTGGCAGCTGCTTTCATGTGCTACCTCAGTGGCTGTGTCACAGCACACAAAAGAAATTATGATGTACCGTATTATTCAACCTTGAGACTGCAGAGAGCTTACAGCCAACTGTTATCTCATATAATGCAATAAGCATACGCTGTAGGTTAAATGTTAATGTGAAGTTTCACTTTTTCTCTTTCTCAAGAAACCCGCTGTAAAGCAAATGTTAATTACGAAATAACTAGATTTAGGTACAATGACAGCGTCATTGTGGAGCCAGTTGTTCCACAATGTGATCATAGGATGATGAAGGAGATTGATGACCTGACTTTTTTTACTGACTTGATATATTTGATAGAAAAATAAATTTTCATTTCAGCTGATCACTCTCCATTAGCTCACCACTCCAATTGCATTTATTGCTGTCCAGCCCTTTTGTTTTGATGTTGTTTTTTTTATTATTATGACTCCACCAGCATCCAAAGAGCTAATTATAAAATTCAATGTTCAGCTCTCTCCTTGCACTGAATACTTGTCAAATTTATATAGAGATTGATATTTGAGAAATACCCAATAACTAATTAGAAGAATGAAAATAAAACAGAAAAACAAATGAGATAAAATGTTTATGAGATAACAGTACCAAACACAGTAATATTGGATTGTCACATGGGGTCGGCAAAAACTGAGATACTTTTTGGAAAGGCCTCACAAAGATAAGAGGCTTTTTATGATGCATGTAACAATTGTAACCTTAAAGCAATACTCCACCTAAATAGATTTGCAAATGTAGCCTCATCTCGGCCCAAAAACAAAACAAAAACCCCCAAGAATGACAGGAATGTGTTTAACATACAAATGGACAGTGGAAAAGTTGGTTGTACTGTAAAAGTTCAAGAAGTTTCAGTGATGGTGGTGTGTCTTCCTTAAGCTCAGGTCCTCTACCAGAAGCCTGGGAGTTTGAGGGTTCTGTGCAGTATCTTAGCTCCTAGGACGGCACTCTTCTGAACAGAGACCTCAGATGTTGTACCTGGATTCTGCTGGAGCCATTCTCCCAGTTTGGGGGTCACAGCCCTGAGTGCTCCGATTACCAATAGCACCACTGTTGCCTTTACTCCCCACATCTTCTCTAGCTCCTCTGTCAGCCCTTGGTATTTTTCAAGCTTCTCGGGTTCCTTCTTCCTGATGTTGCTGTTGCTCAGGATTGCTACATCTTTCTGTTGTTTGTTGATCAACACGATGTCTGACTCCACACACACAAAAAAAAGGTTAGCAATAAAATCTGTTGAAACTGATTGAATTCCTTTTGCCGTTCATGGGTAAATGCTCACAGGCCCATTTCAAGCCTACCAAGATTGAATGCTTGCTATTCAAAAGACAGATTTTGGGTGGAGTATCGCTTTAAGATATTTTGGGGAAACAAGGCCCACGTAACCGCAAGCCTAATTTGTTTTGTCATCTAGAGACACTATACAGAGCTGCTTCATTGGCGATGAATGAAAGAATGATATTGTGGACTGATAGATTTAAGCAATTACACCCACACAAGCTTTATTTAATAGGAGTTAGGGCTAACATTGTTGAACCAAAAAATGTGCTTAGATCCGAGGAAAATCACCCTGGGTTGTGTTACACAGTGCACAAAGATGTCCTCTGATTCATTGTCACTGAAGCAGCTTGAGGGCCTCTTAACGCCAGCTCCCATTTGAGCATAGGGTGTGTTGTTTCTAGCTTTGACAGAGGCATCATTTTCACAAATCTAGATTTAACTTTAGCCATGAAAATAAAAACATTCTTGGACAAGACTAATTTGTTGCTCAGAGGCATATTTGTACAATTTAGGAAACATGTCTAGATGAGCACAAACAAAAGCTATGCAGATTTTATTGCAGTAAATCAGCTATCGGATACTCTTCCACCATTATGGGATGTTTGTGAAGAGTTAACACCCTCGGCAGAATACTAGAGAATTATGCCACTGAATAGTGTTACATTATTAAGACCTTGCATTTTCAGTTTTGTGGAAATATTAGCATAAATGCTAACACAGAGATAAACAGTTACCCCTCATGACATCTCTTTTGGAAGCTTATCACAGGAGTCAGCGGATATGATTTTAAGCACAAATGCAAATCCTGCAAGACAGCGAGAACACTCACTGACCCAAAGTTTTCCAGCTATGTTGACCATTATGGAAACTGTGGCACAGCAGCACACTCCAGCTGCTAGTAATGTTAGCTCTGATGCTAACTCCAGGGAAAGTTAGTGTAATCTTGTCCCATTGGTTGGAGCTGACACTAATTTCCTGGGACAGGAGTGTAGCGGTGTGTGATTTAGCGGCGTATGCTAAGTGCTGCTGGAGCTGCAGGCTAGTCTGTGGGCACTAGGGCAGAGAGAGCAAGCTGGGAAAGTACTGACTTGACTAACTGGCCTGATTAGACTGGGTGTGAGATGACATGGATCAGATACACACACTAAGCCAGCCGGAAAGACAGATTGGCAGAATTAGAGAAAGACTGAAAAAAATGAATACATTAAGATAAAGATGATTACCATACATACATGCAAAGTTAAAAAACAAGGAGAGGGCCGGATGAAGAGATACAGAGACAGTGGGTTAATTTTGTGGACGTGATGTTTCCTCCTGGGGTGTTTTTCAGCTCTGCTGGACTGTGGTGGTGTAAGAAATTGGCTGAGATGCAACGTAGCATTCGCATCATGGTTTCATTAGCTCTCATTCAGCCCAAGGCATTTCACACTGCATTTCCTCTACTCATCTGCTTCTCTTAGATCTGCTCACATTACAGGAAAAGGTAACACGGAGTAAGCTGAAGTAGGAACAGGAGCTTAAACTCCTCTGTATTAGCCTGGAATTTGGTTAGGATATAGAGTTGAAAGAAATGTTATTTTTCAACTCGACGAATGTTATTGATTGATGCAGACACTCGGGTGCCTTTAGCGATTTGGAATGTTTCCCCTCATACCCCCATGACTGGGGTAAATCAGATTACATTTATTTCAGGATTATTTTATCCATTAATAGCTGGCACCTTACTTTGAACATGGCCTACAGGCTTAGATTATGTTCAAGTAAAGGCAGACAGTGGAAGAGAGATTTAGGGCGTCTCACGAAGCCCGATTAGCACTTTAGCAAAAATAAAGTTACGTTTTAACCCTGCTCTCCTAATGGCTGCCCACTCTGAAACTAAATTAAATGATTTTTGAATAGTGGAGGACAGAAAGAGGACAGTAAACCCCCAGCTCCAGTTTGTGCCTATCATATAATCTTTGGTTTTGCACTTGAGACTTGCACTAATAATTAGATTCAGGTCACATATCTGAGTCACACTGTTTTTATCAAAGATAAATACAAGCCGCTCTTTGAGAAACCCTGCGGGCCGGTTTACAGCGCTTACTGCGTTTTTGAAGACATGCTCAGAATACACAAGACTCTTATACGCCGATGATCCGAAATAAATTCTGTCCACAACATGGTGAAGTCGATTTTGAACTCTTTCACAAGGTGTGACTCAACTTCTTTCAAACACACAAAGATAGCAAAAAGTGGGAGTTCTTGCTTGTCTTGTAGGACACACAGAAAATCTGAAGATGTTATATACAGGAGGACACAAAATAGAAAATAACATGGTTTTAGATAAATAAAAACATTAGGAGTTTCAGTTTTTGCAACAAACAAAGTTCCATCTTGTTTATTTTCTTATAGCTTGATACAATGATGTTTTCCTATCATTATGCATGTACTGATAGGCGATATGTTATCATCCCCTCTGTGTAAACACACCTTGTGGGATTAGGAAGTCCTGAGAATAGACTGTTATTTTGTAAACACCTTGAAGGCTGGTTATCTGGGATTAACATTTTTTGATAAGATTTAAGCAGCTCATAAAATAAGAACGTGTCAGTATTTTTTGCCTTGACAGTTTGTGAACATATAACCACCTGACAACATGGTAACAACATGGCATGTGTACAGGAGAAACTGGGGACTGAACTGCCACCTCTGTGATTAATCAATGTCCTGAGCACAGCCACCCAACATACAGTATGTCTCACCTCACCTGTGACAGGCTGCTGACAGGTGGTGCTGTATATGTACTTAGTGGGTGAGCTTTGTAAATAAATCCAGAATTGTAATCGTCTGGTTTTGTGACGCAAACTGTCACGGTTTCTTTGCAAGGCGGTTCTTTGGGTTAATATTTTGTGTTTATGTTTTCAGGGTATGATGGGTGTAGTGGGCTGGATGTTGCTCCTACTCTCCCAGATGATGGTGCCTGTGGCGTCCCAGAAGCCTCCAGGTCTCAGTGTGGGTGTGATCATGGGCCAGACGCGCCACATTTCTGATCAGGAGCTCCGCCCACCTCGGCGCCCTGATGATGCCCTTGACGTCTCTGTGGTGATACTGAGGGTCAACCAGACAGACCCTAAGTCTGTGATTACACAGGTGAGAAATCGATATTACATCAGTGTTACACACATACTGTACACATGCAGTTTATAACACACACAAACACACTGTCTGTCTGTGTCTGATTGACACCTGAGTTTATTTCACTGTGTCCCAAGGTGTGTGAGCTTCTGTCTCGCACTCGTCTCCATGGCCTTGTGTTTGCCGATGGCACCGATCAGGAGGCCATTGCCCAGATCCTTGACTTCCTCTCCGTTCAGACGCAACTTCCAGTCCTGGGAGTCCACGGAGGCTCCTCTATGATTATGGCTGACAAGGTGAGTGACTGTGACACAAACAAAACACACTCCTGCTTTTTCTCTGGATACACAGTGTTTTTGTTTTGGGGATTAGGAAGTTGCAATCCCTCATCTCAGTCACCTTTAAAATGTTGACAGATAATGCTTTTCAAACTACACTTTTTTCAGATGTGCTGGCATGTTAGCAATTTGCTCATATCAATTTAATTTCATTTAAAAATTCACAACGCAACAAAAGTTACCTCATGACACTTTTCATAGAGAGCAGGTCAAAATCATACTCTATAATTTACAGACACCAACCAGTTCCTCCAGATACTTATTTCCATTACCAGTAAGACACTATAAAATAAAATGCCTATTGGAGAGATTTCGTGCTTATCTTCAGCTGGTGGGAATATGAAACCCCAGCTTTTGATAAATGTTTCATTTTGCTTCTTGTGAGTCATTTTAAAGGAGCAGTGTGTGGCATCTAGATGTGAGGTTTGCAGATTGTAACGCGCTAAAACTTCTCCCATGTGCCCTGCTTGCACTCTCGGTTCGGATTCCTTCGGTCTTTACTGTTCACAGGAGATATTTAGCTGGTCGTAATTATCCGCAGAAGTCTCATGTTCTCCAAAACAAGCGAACAAGCTGATTAAAACCGGTAAAAACACTGAATAAAGCAGTTTTATGTTGCCAATCAATGTTTGTGTCGTCACAGATGGGCCGCTAGCCCAGCATCTGCTAATGTGTGCTCACCTTTTTTCTCTGATATCTTAAGTTCAAGATGTTCAGGAGGTCTTTACGGTGAGCTGAATTATCGACGAAGGTCTTTTTGTCTCTGAAACGAATGGACCCTGTGATTTAAACTGGTAAATACACTGAATAAACAGTTTCACCCTAAAAATCGGTGTTTTTCCGATGCTGTTCAGCTCGTTGTCAAGGGGCTGCTTGCTACAGTGGTAGATGCGAAAACGTGAATGACCCTGTCTAGAGCCAGTGTGTGGTTTGTCTGTTCTGGGCTACTGTAGAAACATGGCGGTGCAACATGGCGGACTCCATGGATGAGGACTCGCTCTTTATGTAGATGTAAATGGATCATTCTAAGGTAATGAAAACTAGGGTTGGGTCGGTATGAGAAGAAAAAAAAAACGGTCTGTTTTTTGTGAAAAACCACATCAAGTCGGTAATACCAGATTTTCGCCACTTTGGGGCGCAATTGACTCATTTGAAATAAAAAACGACCATATAACAACAGAGTGACAGTAACACTTTGTTTCTTTTATTCCTTACAAATAAATTTTGCAGCTTACTCAATCAGTGCAAACAAGGGTTGCCTCCTTCGTCTGTCTCAAAGCCAAAGTGTTGCCATAGTGACGCATTCTTTGATTTCTTCGAGACTAAACTGTCCGCCATTATCGACTCCCAGGCTACAGTAGAGGCCTTGGCGCAGGCGCACTCGCACCCCCTTGCTCAGTCCCCACCCCACCCCCACCCCCCTCTCTCTCCTGCTCGCTGTGCGCTTGGCGAAGAGGCAGACACAGGTGCTCACAGACTCGGGCGTACTATAAGCGGAGTGGACTCAGGAATGTCGGAATGTCCACAGTCATTTGGGCTTCCATAGTCGAGCGCACTTCCGCGTTATAGTTTCCTGTAAAAATGTCCGTGAAAAATCCCTGCAATGTGAAAACTACATGCCGACCAGTCTTTTGTGTGACACTGGTGTGCAGAGCGGAGTCCGCGCGGTCGTGCTTTGCGCGGACAGGGCTTGCGGATGTCCGCTTTTACCGGGCGGACCTCCGCGGAGTCCGCTCCGCGTACGTTCCGCCCGAGTATGCAGTCCAGTCAGTCTCCAAAAAAAAAAAAAAAAAAAACCCGGTCCAAGACGGAGTACCGAACCGAATTGGTATTACCGAGAACTGACCCAGCCCTAACGAAAACACGTTGATTCTTAATGTTCAGGTGATTATACACACGTAAAAAAACAAAACAAAAAAATACTTAATATTCCATTTCTGCCAATGTACTCCCCTTAATCCTTCACACTGGACCTTTAAGCTGTTTCTAGTGGATGTCTAATGGCTATCTTGAGGTTTTGTTGAACTGAGAATGGACATGGTTAACTTTTATCACACATAAATTGTCTGAAGATGTTTTAGTCAGCGTGTTGTAGATTAGAAAATGACACACTAGAGGCTTTGGAAGCTTGTTTGTGCTATCACTGCTGCTCTGTCAGATGATTTTTTTTTGTTTAAGTACAGAGGAGAAACACTGCCAACGCACTGGATTGATGGCTGGTATCACCCAGCACATTTTTATGTTAATTAACCTTTTAAAAGGTTACTTAGTGCTCATTTAAAAGTACAGTATTCATAAGGTCAGTCGAAGTCTTTGCATAGAACATGCAGCATTCTCTGGTACATCATTTTGAGAACAGATGATCAAGCATTGTTTAAATGTGTAATAATGCATTTTCTGCTTGGTCTGAAACTGGGCTATGCAAAGCCAAAAAAAAGAATCACGCATCACGTCTACTGCACTCAGTGGGATGCCAGAAAAATAGATTCCCAGTTTTTAAAAGAAAAAAAAGAAGCTATCCTTTAAGATCGTATTTTTGTTTTATTTTGGTCTGATGCTCAGTGCAAAGTTAGGGATGTACATCTCTTTCTTAGTTGAATTCTCTCTCTGGTACTGACTCTGTAGACCTCGCTAACTGACAGACAGACTGAAGGAGCTTTGATAAAAACACAACTGGTTCTTTAGCTTTTAAATCTCTCAGGGCACAGCAGCCAAAACACAGGAACCAATAACTGCAGCAATACAGCGGCCTTTTGAAGTAGTGGTTGATGGGGGAGGCAGTGTGAGTGTGAGAAAACACAAGAAAAAGAGACAGCGAAAGGTAAGAGAGACGTTGAGAGTTGGCTTGAAGGTTATAGGAGTGGGGTTGCAACATGAAGGTCACTGACTTAAATCTCCCACCGAGAATATAATGATAGGGAAAATAAATAAATTGTGTTTTTCCCGCCTTCAATCGCTGCCTTTGATGTGCCATTAAACGAGGTACTTAACCCCCAGCTGCTCTAATTGAACTGCTCAGTGGCCAAAAGTACAAGAGTGCGGTCATTCTCGGCAGCTCCCAAGTGAGAGCGCGAGTGTGTGTAGCCCGTAACTAACCAGCCCCCCTGCAACTGTTCCTGCAGGCCTGTCCTGTAAATATAAATGTCTTCCTGCCTGGTTTAAATTAAGGGCAAAAGCAGTCCACTGGCAGGCAGGTTCGGAGGCTCAGTGAGTCAGCAAATCATTTGAAAAAGCATTGTTGGTAGATTGGTGTTTTTTCTGAAGTTCTGATGTGTGTGATTGTTGTAGTTCTCATTTACAGTATCTGCCCTGTCCAGAAGGACATAGTTCAGATGTGTGTGGAAAAGATGTGAGAGGATATTGATGATTTTCCTCCCCTGGGTCCATCTTTGAATAATTCTTTTTGTTGTCGTTTTTTTAAGTTCCTGCAACTAAGGATTGCATTCATTATCTGCTGATTATTTTTGGTTTAATCAATAGCTTCTTTGCATTTGAGGTCAGACATCGGTGCACTGTCCAGATGGAGGACATGCAGCTGGAGGCAAAGATGACCAACACATGCGCAAATGCCTGTTCCTGGCTGTTTCAATCAGTCACATTGGGGGGGGGCACGTTAAGTCCCAAATATTGACGGATATTAAGAGGAAAAGTAAAAAAAATAAAATAATTAAAAAAAAAACATTTTTAATATCATTGAGAAACAGCAGCAGATGTTGATCCGAAACCTCCGTCTTCAGTCTGGAGAAGCAGAGTCAACTTATTTCAAACATAAACTGTAAAGCGTTGTGTCAAACGTGCCTCAGGTTGGAGGCAATTATAATGGATTGTAACAACTTCTGTGTTTTTAGCCATGACCTACATTTTTTATGGCCTTTTACAAGAGCTCTGGGAACAGTCGACCCAGTAGATGGATGGTAGATATTAAAGTTAGTTACTGTTACCTAGTAACATTAGCCCCACAGCAGAGCAACACATTCTCACTCCGACCTCGTCACATATTGATGTTTTGATCATGGACTTTCCATGTCCACGTACTAAGTGCAAGGCACCCTGGGTGTGTTGGTTGCTGACGTTCTGGGACACCATGTCAACTTCTTTTACACTTCCATTTCCACAGGAAATTCAACGTTTACATGCAGTCTCTTTCAAAATAAACGCACTATGTTGGTACAACACCGCAAATTGACTTTTTTTTTTTTTTTTTTTTTTCCCTTCAACAGCAAACACACATGGTTGGGTTTAGGCAAAAAAACACATGGTTAGGTTTAGGAAAAAACGAACAGGGTTTGGCTTTAGAATCTTACGGGACGCAAACACCGCTCTCTCGGGTCAAAGTTGGTGTTTGTTGGACCCATTCACCACCCCTTCCCGCCTGCCCCACGTGGACTTTCACTGCCTTAACTTTTGTCTTTGTCCTGCTGCGTTTCCCCCTGAAGCAGCCGGTTGCTGTTACGTATCATGCCAACATTAAAGGACACCTTTTTCATTGGTTTCTGAAGCTGCAAGTCATTGCCCAAGTGTTGGATTTCGACGACTTCGGAGTGGGACCATGCTCAGCGGAGCATTGTTGTATAGAGTTAAAATATAAAAGACAGTAATGCTCATTTCAGTTGTTGACCCAACCACACACAAAATAGTTAAAATCTGCTATAATGCTGTACACTGTCATCGACTCACCATGTAATGTCAGTAATGTTAGGAGGTCTGGAGGATGTGGTAATTTGTAACGACAATCATATCCACAGCAGCGGGCAAACTGGTTAAGTTGTGGGAGGAATCACTTTGCCTTGTTTTGTATGGATCACATCCAACATGAGTTTCAGTTTTCTGATGATACTTGCTGCCTGCAGGTTCATCTAACCATTTTATGTAGTTGTGTTCCTCTATTTCCAATTCATGCAGTATATAGATTTATCACTTCCTGCTCTCCATCTGAATTTTAATATCATAATAGTCAC